AGGTTACATCATAATTCCTCCTTTCTATAAGCTATCATTTCTAATTTCCAAACCCATAAATCACAAGTTTGTTCTTTTCTTTTTTCAGCAAAAAGTTCGTAAGGGGTGCTCAGTGGCATAATATTAATCCATGAATGCAAATATCCAACTTGCCTCCATAACTCATAACTGTGTGCACCGGATCATGAAAACCACCAAGAAAGCCACCATTTCATGTGTGTCTGCATTTCCTTCTCTGTCCAAGGGAAAATAGAAAATTACAGCAGGAAAGCTCTTTTTTCCATTATGGGGTTACACTGGCAATTGGCACATAATCAGATCTGCCCCAAAATCATGCATGCTGTTAAATCTGCTCACGGTTGAATGGGAAGAGAGCTATACTCCAAAGGAACACATTCTGCTCATGTTCCATGCAGATGGGCACAGCATTATGAGGGGAATGCTATGGAAAGAGCTGTAATAGGCTATAGATGAGTAATAATACCATCCATGATAAAAGCGCTTGCATTATGAGATGCACTTATCATCACTATCTCACCCCAAAGCCTAAAATCAGTCCCATGAATTATTTTATCAATATCTCTAAAATTTGAAATCTGGGGCAGAGAAAGGTAAACTACTTTAATGGCAATGCTGTAAATACAGTAATCTGATGGATATATAGTAGAGACTTTCCCTATTCATATGGATTTCCCTGTCAATTTACAGAATGGACCTGAACATCTAAAGGCTGCTTCTTTCCTTCCTTCATTTCACTGAAGCCAAGCGTACATGTTGTAGGCACAGTGGCTCACTGTATAATCAGGTTAAGGGCCATTTGTTGATTATTTTTAGATTATTTAGTCAAGGTAACACATTCCTTGTAGAGGGGCCTGTTGTAATGAGGGAAAAGAGGAGAATCCTGCAGTGTTGATAAACCCTCATGCAAACATCTGGTTCTATCATACAGAATTCTTGTTACTATACCTCAATGCTTACTGCTGTAAAAAGTGATTCCCCTATGAGGTACAGTAAGTTTGGGCAGAGCAGTTAGTAGGAAAAATAGTAAGATAGGACCTGAAGCACATATATCTCTGCAAGGGGTGAAGGTTGGGAGTTTTCCCCCTTATTTTTTTCAGGGGATGTCCACTGTGGAAGATTCAGGGCATTTTAAAGGAAGTTATAGCTACAGGGCATAGTGAAATTACAGAATTAGATCCCTGGAGATACAGCAATGGCTACTACTTTAGATTGTTTTATAGAGGATTAGACAAAGTCACGGAAGAGAAAGCCATGGATGTTTATTGCCTAATAGAATTCCATGCAACTTTTAGACCACAGACATTAGTGGCCTTCAGAGAAATGTTGTGAAATAAATGTTTCCTTGTCACGAATGACCAATAGTATTCTATGAACCATGCACCTAAGGGAAAAAGGAATGCATCATTACTCAATTCCCCCTTGCTAATCTTCCCAAAAAACTACCAGCACCACAGCACCTCAGGGCTATCTGTCCTCTGAATCAAAATAAATGACAGTGAAAAGTATTGCAAACAGGCTTATAGGCACCACTCTGCCACAGATCTACATTGAGGCTGCTGCCAAAGGGTCTTGCTAATCCTCCTCCTCCCATTCTCTCGTCCTCCCTCATTTCCCTCTCCTCCTCTTCTGGCCCTATGCCAGGCAGCAGGCATCTGAGTACGGAATCAAATAAAAAGGTTGTTGCCCTGAGACCTCTCAAGTTTTCCATTTGATGGTCATAGCTAAAGGCAGAATGAGGATAGGACAAAGCCACAAATATGTATTCCAGTCCCAACATATATGCATATTCCTATACATTTCCCCCCATTCATGTTCAATTGCTATTTACTCAAGCTCCAAATTTATTTTCTGTCTACAGCCCCTTAAATCTATTTCAGATGATTTAATTTTGTTTTGAACTCAATAAATGAAGCCCTCTTTTGTCTGATTTTATATTCAGCCAACACTTAAGGTCCAGATTGCTAATTTATTTCCTTTTCTCCTTTTAAAAGTGCAGGTATCTTGGTACTACTGGCCATTAATACTAGCATACCCAGACAGCAAAATGTATCTAAAGGAATCTTAGTCCTTATGAACATTTTAAGAAGGGGCTCAAACTACAACAATCAATGTGAATTGATTTTCTGAGTAAGGGTGGAAAGGGAATTGACTCCTAGATCAGTATTTCTTAAGCTACATTCTGAAGAATTTCAGTGTTTCCTGAGCAAATTGAAAGTGTTGTGTCATTTCATCCCAAGGTCCAAGACAAGCTTTTGAAAATGGCTTTTTGATCCTTTCATTTCACTAGTGAAACAACTTGCCCTAAGCATGAAAAAATGTTGGCAGATCTTTTATCAGATGTCACACTGAAACAATTGAGAGGAGATTTTTTTAAAAATCACCAGAAAATTTTTGGATGAAAATGTTTGGAGAGTATGAGTTTTTAAATGCCACTGACAGCTCCACTAACTCTTCCTTGAACACAATTTAATGAAAGCAGGTTTTCAACACTTTTTATAATCAAGACAAAATATCAAAACAGACTGAATATTACTACCATAATCAGTCTTTTTGACAAAGCTAAACTCCTACGCTGATGAAATTTGATGTCATCTGCAAGATCATACTTCCCCTACTGTTTTACCATTAATGTATTAAATGTAATGGAAATTTAATAGATTATTAAATACATTTTATTTCATATTTCCTTTTAAAAATTAATAGTCTTAGATCAGGCATGTCAAACTGCTGGCCCACGGACCAGATGCGTCACACCAAAACTGCACCCACACCATTGCTGGCAATGGGGGAAAAAGTCGCGATATGTCACGAGTTTGACATGCCTGTCTTAGAATATTTCTTGTGCTTATAGATCTCCTCCCTAGCATCAGAACATCATAGCCAATTTCAGCTCACCCTCTATGGTAGTAGAATAACCTGCCAAGGATGGTGAGAAGCTTTCCCCCAAACTGGTGCTCTCAACTTCCAGCTTCATAGGTGCTATTCAAGATAAGTGGAGGTCACCAAGTTAGAAAAAGGTAGGCTATTATTATCACTAATTCAGTCCAAAGCAAACAAAAAAGTTGTTGGTACTTTCTATCTTTTAAAAATCAAAGTAACAAAAACAAAACAATATGTCATGCAAAAGAATTTAACTCAAACTGTGGCAGCACTACAGAACTTGGATGACCTTGAAAAGCTAAGTAGGGTCAGACCTAATTAGTACTTGGATTGAAGATCACTGCTAAATTCCAGAGCTACAGAATAGATGGGACTGTTTTAAAAAATTTTCCATCCTATGTCCTGATAGTCATCAGAAATCAATCTGACCCAAATGGAACTTGATTATTTATCTACATCTGGTCAGACTTTTCTTAGTCTGCAAATTCCATTAAAAAATAAAATTGACAGCCATTCTTATGTTACTTCATGCAAATTATAATGGTTTGGTTTATAAAATTCCTGCTTAAATTAAGTCAGAAGCTATCTTTTAAATCACCAAATTAGGCCAACATCAAATTTTGTTGTTAGTGATACAAGCATTTATCCTTTCCTTATTTTTAGGCCCTTTGTTTTACATGTCCATTTCTCTATTCAATTATAGGACATATATACTAAGCAATAGCAATAGTAATAGCACTTAGACTTATATACCACTCCATAATGCTTTGCAGTACTTTCTGGGTGGTTTACAGAGTCAGCATATTGCCCCCAACAATGTGGGTCCTCATTTTACTGACCTTGGAAGGATGGGAAGCTGAGTCAACCTTGAGCCCGTCAGGATTAAACTCCCAGTTATGAGCAGAGTTTGCCTGCAGTATTATATTCTAACCACTGCATCACCAGGGCTCCAGTAACTGGATCCATAGGAGTTTGCTTGGTACTTAGTTAATATTCTTTTCTACTGCTTCAAATATTCTCAAGGCAAAGTACTGGGATAAGCAAAGAATACAAAAACTTATCTTCTTCTGAAACTCTGCCACCTGATTTGAAGACCGAATCTCCTCTCAAAATATTCTAGAGCCAAGTTAGCAATCTGGACTTTTCTCTATGCAAATTCAACAAGTAGCTGGGAAAATTACATTTGTTCTCATTTAAAAAATCATAATTGTAAGAAAATCAAGAACATCATATAATTGCTACAGTCAACCTGAAGGCTAGGTTCAAATCTCCAGTCCAACACAGCACTGATTAGTTGATGCCACTATCTCTCAGCTTAATTGATTATTCCTGTGTTGATAAAATTAGGGGTGATCTCCCATGGAAACTTACATCTGAGGGATTTGAAATTGAAGCGCTGGTTGTGCGCTCCTATTTCATTGCATTTTGGGGGAATCCCAGCCAGGAATTGCCTTTGTTGCCTGAAAACGGCAACTAAAATGGCGCCCGCGGTTGCCCTGGGCTGCTGGGCAAGCTACGACGATCCGAATTCAAGTTTGAATCCGGACCTGGAGTTTGTTATTTTCTCCCCAAATTGGGGGAAAAAATACCTTGGAGGTTGGGGAGAAAGGTTCAGCAAGTGGTCTCTGCTGATGCCTTCTTCCCCCCCTTTTCACCCCCAGAGCCCTGGGGCTGGCTGGGATCTGTGGGGAAGTTCCCCCCCCCCCACACCCCCTTTCAATTTTAGGTTTGAGATCAGGAAACCTAATTTTTCTTGATCTCAAGAAAAAATTAGTGGGTAAATTCCTATAAGGGGCTTTTTTTTTTTAGAAGGGAAAGCCAATTATTAAGGGATAATCAATCAATGGATTTCTTTGTCTATCCCGATAAGCTGAGAGCCACGCCAAAACGAGTTTTCCAGAGCAGAGACCAAGTTAAGAATGGACTCCACAGGAAGAGGGGGCATGTCTAGTTTTGGCTACTTGGTCTCAAGAGCAGGCAGACAGAGAAAACCCATTGGTGGATTATCCATCTCCTGTACTGGAGAACAAGGCAGGATATAAATACAATAAATTGATAATCAAATAAGCAACATGGGAGCAGAATGGAAATACACATACCTTTTTGAATTGCCAGGCAGTACTCCTTCAGACAACTAATGTAGTAGTTCCTCAGTCAGGCAGTGCATGTCAAAGGTAGCTCACACCCTGGAAGTGCATACAGATGAGGACAGGGTCAGATAGCCTGAACTTGCATTCATGTCACTGTTGAATGTCCCTGTTATTCTTTCTAGCAATTATGTAGCATTCCTAAGATGACCCTATTATCTTTACTTTAGCAGCAGGAAGAACCTGCAACTCTAATCATTGTGGTAACTACTACTGTGACTATACAGCCATAAGGCATGGGAAAAATGCACATCACATATGCTTAGCAATGACTCTCTTGGGACAGCTTGTCTTCAAATGTTGACTTCAAATATTCTTCCCTCTCCAGCATATCAGCTTCAGTATCTGTTAAGGGACAGCTCTAATATTAAATGGGAATAGCAGTACCATGGGCTGTTTTTCTGTGAATTATTTGGCTGCCAAGGTTTCAACACTCTTATATTAATGTGTGAATCCTGCCAAGTTCTCCAGAATAACAGATTCTATATCCTGTTCACTGTGATGTTCCCCCAATCCCTGCAAACCAAAATCCAAATGTTTAGATAACAATAAACATCGACATGGAAGAATCAAAAAGTGTGCTTCTAGATGAGATGGGAGATATATAAATCTAATAAATAAATAAACAAATGAGAAATTAGTGTAGTTTCATCACCTGGGAAGAGTCCAGTCTGATAGGTAGGTATGAATATTAAATCCCTGCGTCTCTTGCTCATCATAGCCTATTTATTGGAGTAGATATACACTATACAGTCTTCCTTAAATTATTCCAGTTGAGTTTTGAGGAGAAGCATTTTTTTTTTTTAAAAAAAAATCTGTGCTGGAAACTGTAATGGAAATTACAGTTTGAACTGGCATCTAGCTTACCATGCCATAGTGGATACGCTGTTATATTTTTAGACTTTTCATAATTGGGAGAGGGGGTCAGCACATCTGGTTCACATATAGAAATTCCTTGCTTCAGTTCCTGATATTTCTACTTAAAAGGATTAGGTAGTGATGGATGAGAAAAAGATGGAATTAGATTTCTAAAAGCTGCTGTTATAGTTGAAACAGGTAACTGGGCTAAATAGACAAGTTATAGTAACTTGTCTATGTTGTAAGAACTAGTGGTATATTTTAAAAGGAAAAGAGTCATCTTAGGGATATCAAGCACATGTGTTAACTCGACACTGTATTAAGCAAAAAGATCCAGCTTTGCAATGTCAACACCATCACACACATTCATAGGAAATAGTCTCACTCTGATAAAATAAGAGTATTATATTTTGTGAAACATTTTATTAGATTTGTTTTAAGACTTTCTTTCAAATAGGAGATATACCTAAAGTCAAAGGATCTTTGATTACTTCAAGTGCAGTTTGGAAAAGGCACTCTTAAAAAGCAATAAAACTTGAAGCAAATATATCCAGCATATATCCAAGACATATATAGTTTGAATTAAAAGGTAAATGTTTCATGTTTCTTTTTTTGAGCAAAACATTTATTCTTTTTTTTTACTTTTCAAGAAAGTGCTATATTTTGAATACACAAGAGAATGCATAGATAAATTTTAAGAATAAGACAAAGATGTCCATTATCCCCATTGCTATTTATCTTAACTTTGGAAGTTTTAAATAGAAACATTAGGCAAGATCTAGAAATTAAAGGATTGAAAATAAAAACTGAAACCTACAAACTGCAAGCATTTGCAGATGATTTGGTATTCATTCTAGAGGAACCTTTACAGACGATTCCTAAACTGTTGGAAAAGATAGAACAATTTGGAGAGATAGCAGGATTAAAGATAAATAGAGAAAAAAACTAAAGTGATAGTTAAAATTTTTACGGATAAACAAAAAAAGCAATTATCAGAAAAAATAGAATTGCAAATAGTCAAAAAAGTCAAATATTTGGAAATATATTTGACAACAAGATATTCAACAATAAAAGAAGATAATTACATTAAATTGTTAAACCAAATACATCTTGAGTTGGAAAAATGGAAGAATCTTCAACTGTCAATGTTAGGAAGAATTGCTGCAGTGAAAATGAATATATTACCAAAAATATTATTTTTATTTCAAACGATACCCATAAAACTGGAGAAAAAATTATTTGAAGATTTAAACTCTTTAATTCAAAAATTTATCTGACAAGGAAAGAAAGCTAGAATTAAATTGAAAATGTTACAAGAAGCCAAGGGAAATGGAGGCTTTGGCTTGCCAGATTGGGTTTTATATTATCAAGTATAAGTGTTAACATGGATAAAAGAATGGATAACTCTTAAAAAATAAAAAATTGCTGTATCTGGAGGGACATGACCTGCAACTTGGTGGGCATGCTTTTTTATGGTACGGGAAAAATAAAATACATAAATACTTCCAAAACCACTACATTAGAAATGCATTATTATTAACTTGGGAAAATATAAAATTTATTTGAAAATTCCAGGATGGCTTTCAACAATGGAAGCATTTGCACATCCAAATCTAGTCAGTCTCAATAAAATATGGACATACAAAGATATTCTAAATTCCGAAGGGAACTTAAAATCCAGGCAAGAGATGGAAAATCAGGGCATAGATTTAACATGGTGGTCACATTTACAAATTCAAGTCAGATATCATAAAGATATTAAACAGTATGGATTTTACAAAGAACAGACTATGTTTGATCAGACATTTTTAACTTCTGATGAAAAGTTAATTAAAAATGTACAATTTCTTATTACATTTCAAAATGGAAGATGAATAAGTAAAAGAGACAATGACAGTATGGGCAAAGAATTTTGGATATAATATAGACTTAGAAAAGTGGCAAAATTTGTGGGAAAGAAACTATAAATTGACAATGTCAGCTTCATACAAAGAAAACTTATATAAAATGTTTTATAGATGGCATTTGCCACCAAAAAGATTAGCAAAAATGTTTAAAAACATGTCAGAGAAATGTTGGAACTGTAAATACAAACCAGGTACTTATTATCATTTGTGGTGAACATGTGTTAAAGCAAGGAGTTGTTGGACAATAATCCACACTTGGTTAGAAAAAATGTTAGAGAAACACACACACTATAAACCTGAATTTTTTTTTACTAGGTATAATGCCAGAAAAACTTGGTAAGCAAAATACATATTTGATTCTACATGTGATAACAGCAGTAAGAATTATATTTGCACAATATTGGAAGAACGAAGAAATACCACCAGAAGAAGAAATAATCAAAAAAATATTAGACTGTGCGGAAATGGACAGACTTAATTTAAGGTTGAAAGAAAAAGAAGAAACAGAATATTTTCAAACTTGGGACCTATTTTATCAATGGTTAGAGAAAAGATTTAGGGATCAGGAATTTAATTTGTATTAGTGAATAAGATACTCAGACAACACATTTTTGTTGAATAATTATTATTGAACTGTTAAAAAAATAATAAAACTTTTTTTTAAAAAAGAATTTCTTTGATACGAGTTTCATTTGTTTCTCTCAATCTGCTCCAAAATAAATACATTATATGGATAGCACCAACCCTGATGTAATCAACCACTTCCTTACTGAAATGCACTCTTTATATTCTTCTGAAATATAAATGTTAAAATATGGCACTCATACTTTTTCAATTAAATTGCATATGCATTTTAACTTGAAAGAATTTTTTAAAAATTGAAAATTACACTGAGTAGTAGCATTGTGATGCCACAGGAATCAGAATTTTACACAAGATACAACAATTCTCACTCTTGAAACTCAACCAGCATTCAGGAGAACTTGCATCTATAACCATTGTGGTAATTGCTACTGTGAGTAGCTATAAGATATGGAAGAAAAAAGTGCACGTCATACATGCTTAGCAATGGTTCTCTTGGGACCACTTGTCTTCAAATATTCTTCTCTCTCTAGCATATCAGTTTCACTATCTGTTAAGGGACAACTCTAATATTTCATGGGAATAACAATATCATGTGCTGTTTCCCTATGAATTATTTGGCTGCCAAAGTTTCATCACTCTTGAATCTAAAGCATTCTTCAGCATACAAATACTTTAGATTCTTTATTATGTCTTGTCTTAAATTATAAGCCACCCAGAGTCATTCGGCGGTCAGATGATTTCTAAGTGTAATGAAATGAAATGAAATGAAATATTAAAATAAAATAGTCATGGACAAGCTTTGGATAGGTACATTGCTGAAATTATTGACAGAAGATATCTAATAACAAAGATCAGCTACAGAAGAATATGGCAACCTATCCTATAATTTATAATGGTGCCAAGGTTAAATTTTAGGTTTCTCTTGTCCTTGCTTGCTGTTTGTTTTGTCAACCTTGGACATGGAGGTCATCTACACCATGTTTGATAATAGTCTTGTCTGCCTCAGGTTCTTTGTTTCTGGTGTTGCCAGCTTCACCTTTCAACTCTCACAAGAGGAGAAAGCCACTCAGCATGAACTCAGTTTTCACTGAATTCAAAACTGGTTGGAAATAATCACTCAAATAACAATAGACAGGCATTTGGTACACAATACCCAGACTTAACAATTGTTGAAAAAAAAAGAGACAAAAAAGTCTGGATAAAGGACACTGCCATACCCAGAGACAGCAGAATATTGAAAAATGATCTCCAAGATTTTCAGAAGAAAAACAACTCAACAAAACAAGGAATGCAGGAAACCAACTCCCAGACTGAAATTTGGGCCAGTTATGCTGCCATGAGATTTAGATAGTCTCATAGTAGCATAGCTGGTTCTGCAAGAAGCTCTCCATGGTGCTGTTCTTTGCTCACTGCTTGCTCTATTTGCGAATTTTGCTTGGAATGGATAGTTGACCACTTATTTATCTTTATAAAAGTTCAAATCCCGATCAGCTTTCAAGATGACTGGTTAATAACAGCGAATTGCAACTCTCTCAAATATCAATTAATTTGTACTTGTACATAACTTTCCTGTGTATTTTTTGCTTGTCACTATATAATAATAATACAAATATTCACATACACACAAAATAATTAATCCACACATTTAAATTGAATGAGTCTGAAAAAGATATCGTATCAGCCTTTTTT